CCCCCCGTTTTTGGTTCGGAGAGGCAAATAAAGATGTGAGAAATGGACAAAGATGCTGTCCTCCTGCAGCAGCTGTTTGTTTGGAACATCCACAAAGGAGTTTCTGCAGTGTCAAGTGTGGAATCAAGGTGCATTTGCCTTGTTCTTGATGTGTTGCTCTTTGTTCCATTTTACATTTTTCTAAATTAACTATCAACTCAGGAAAGGGAATAGATGGATCAGTGAAGATCTCTGCTTAATGTGCAGCTGTTGTCAAAAAACGCAAGCAAGATGTTAAGATGCATAAGGAATGGGATAGAGAATACAGAAAATATACCACTACATAAATCAGGACTGCAGCCTCTTTTGAAATAGTGTGTGTGGTAGTGGTCACTCCATTTCAAACAGGATATTACAAAACTAGAGAGGATCCGGAGAAAGTCAGCACAAATGATGAGCATGAAAAATAACTTTCATACCAGGAAATGGGGATTGTTTACTGGTGGAAACAAAAATTAATATAAGGGAAGGCAGGCAGGGAGCTTTTGTTCTCCCAGTCTGACAATACAATATGGGATGCTAAACAAATTAAAAGGTATCAAATTCAAAACAGTTACATGGAAATAACTTCACACAGGGCATAATTTGTCTGAGGGACTCATTGCCACAGGATGTCATCGAGGACAAGAATTAGCTAGATTTAAAAAGATTTTCATTTATATGGATGAAAAGAATATTCAAAATTGTAGCTAAAGTTAGCTGATGGTGAGAGGGAGAGTAAACCTTTGTTTAAAACAATCTCTAGTTAATAGGGATTAGGATTATTCCCCATCTGTCTATTGCAGGGTTCTTGCACCTTCTGAAAAATGTGATGCTGTTCACTGTCAGAGAACAGAATACTGACCTAGATGGACCTCATGTTTGAGCCACTATGATAACTCCTGTGACGCAGAAAGGAGTAAGTAGTCCTTAAAGGCTAAAAAGTATAGAGAACATGAGTTTAAACTGTATCCAGGCCTTGCTGTATTTTGCAGCTATGGAATTTACTATTAAGTCCATTCCTTGCCACAAAATTATGCTCCAGAATTGAAGTTTTCACTTAATTTTTTTTCTAGCCCTATGATAGTATAAAAAGATTCCAAGCATAAGCAAACTGTAAACCAATGCAGTGGTGTCTTCCTAAATCTATACTATCCTATCAATAACTCAGAAGTGTTAGAGCAAGTTTTCTTTTTAATCTAATCACTTTAGACACATCCTCTGTCCTGTTACACTTGTGTATTGTTTCTAGGATCTGGCTGGCATGTAGTTATGCAGGGAAGACTACATAGTTTCCAGGCCTCCATCTGAGTAGGCCTCAATTCAGACCACTAGCAGTAACACTCCTATGCGTAACTGAAGTATATTGGAGCCAGGCTGGGGTCATCAACTAAAACCAGATTCCTTTTTCTAGAACAGGACTAACTTGTGGCCACTGATGTCTTTAGTCAGACCCACCTTCCATTTAGCAATATGGGAGAGTAGGGTTAGGATGGTCACAATGCACTGACATCTGTTCATGACTTCCAGCTTGAGAATAGAGCCTGCCTCTACAGAGAAGCATTCTTAGTAAGCTAATGCTTGTTGGTGACCTATGAAGCAATAGCTAATCCTCATTGAGCTCAGAGAACACAAGGATTTCTCTGGTTCAAA